AGAATGTATTTAGTTCTAAGTTTAAATGATGATCCCTCTTCCTGTTTTGAACTTCTGATCCAGTTTTCCTTTCTACTGTTCCCTCTTTTTTTTATACTTATTCACCGTTCCATTGATGGTTCTTGAATAGACTTTAAATGTGGAAGCCAGTATATGAATGTTAGTACCATTACTGAAGTCCTAAATGATCTTTTTCCTCTCACCATTGCTCAGTTGGGAAGACATAGTGGGGAAGACGCAAAATGATTTTAATCTGTTCTCTTTCTAACTGAATACCTCAAAGGATTTTTCACAACAACTGCCCTTAGTAACGTTCTACCTTGTGTGACGCTTTGGTGAACAATAGTAAAAAACAAGTACATGAAATGAATTTTGAAAAAAGTTCTATTAAAAAAAAAAAATAACGAAAATAATTTGGACAGACCCTAACATTATCGTTACGGAAACTCGTATTTCCATCTTAATCATTAATGATGAGAGGTACTTGTCCGAATAATGCATTTGTTTGGAAAAAAAATCAACACAAATAAATAATAATAATAATGGCACTGAGCCAACAAATTAGATGTTGGATTTCTGTCACCGTCAAATATTATAGACAAGTTTTATATTGAAAACCTCCAACTATTTGAATACCTCAAGAACTGGTTGTTCCACCTTGATGGGAGTTAATAATCAAACAAAGAGGAACTTCTAGCGCATACGTGAACAAAAACTCTCCCATAAGGTTACTCAATGCGCAGATTTTCTGTAGGGTATATTTAGCAAAACATGGTATCACAAAAAATATGTTTGTGTTCCTTGTCCCAATAATACCTATATATATATATATATATATATATATATATATATATATATATATATATATATATATATATATATATATATATATGCATGCCTAAAGTGAAAATGGACTTACATTTTATTACTTCAAACGTCATTTTTTAGTAAATACCTGTGTTTGAAATAGACGCCTCTTTTATTTAAAAAAAAAAAAAATCAAAATACGTCTACCGGTCCGCGTACTCGAGAAAACTTAAGAAAGAAAAAGTGCTCCTCTGCAGGGTTTGAACCTGCGACCCTCTGTGTAGGTAACGGTGGTTTCTCCTGGAAAGGCGATTATTTATTTTTCCGACTAACTTCCGTTTTTTTTTGTTTTTTTTTGCTCGGTGTATTTTTTTGGTGGGAGGGCTACCAATATAACTTATAAATATCGACTAGACTGACTTCGTATCTCAGTCCAACTATTGTACCCATGGGGTTTGAGAAATAAACTTAAGTCACAAATAATACAGACATTATACATTGGTTTGTTTCGTTATAACCAGCTTGTAGAAATAGTCTCATCCCTATAATGAAGGAGTTATTTAACAATTAAAGTAACAGTGTAGCTGTAGCGCCATGGGACGAGGACAACATTTAAATTTATATTTATAGTAATGACATATCAACACCTTATGGGTCATTTAATGCCAAAATTTACTTTTCTTGGGAGCTTTGAAATAATAATATCATAAGTTACTCTGCTTTCGCAATTGAATACAAACATGGATTGCTGGTAATTTTTTCTTTTTAACGAAAGTACTGCTGGTAATTTTTTCTTTTTAACGAAAGTACTGCTGGTAATTTTTTTCTTTTTAACGAAAGTACTGCTGGTAATTTTTTTCTTTTTAACGAAACTACTGCTGGTAATTTTTTTCTTTTTAACGAAACTACTGCTGGTAATTTTTTACTAAGAAAACCTTTTGCTGATATTTTTACTATAAAAATGTATCTTTATACCTTCATAGTATTCCAATTTTAGTTTGGAATGCACTATTTGCCCATAGCTGGAACCCTAACAGGTGCTACCACCCTGTGTCAAGTTGAATCTGGGAACAACAGTAATAAAAAAAAGAGGTTCCACGCTCCTCAAAAATTTCCGCTAAAACCTTAAAAACGCTAGACTGATTGCTGGAGGTCATAAAGATGGGATACTCTATCTCAAAGGGAGTGACAGCTGTATTTTTTTTTTTTTTTTTTTCGGGGGCAACTATAGCAAGAAATGACTGTGTGAATTCTACAAGCGGTGTAGAAATGGAGTCGCAGTTGGCTAATAATGATATTAATCACAACGAATGAAAAACGAGATCAAATCACATCTGATGCCAGTTAACTCATCTTTCAACGTATATTAAATTCCATAGGGTTGCGTAGTCTTCGGCCCACGAGTTTCCTCTCATTGACACTGCTGTAACAGTTACAGCACTTCATCTGCACCGGAGCATATTATCGTTGGACTGTAGAAAACTGGAATTATGTCACCTGATCAGATGGTCAATTTGATATGTGGAAGCGACTGTATGTGACTATGTGTCCATTCTGTCAGCAGGGTTTGGTGCAAGCTAGTGGTAGCTCTGAAATGGTATGGATAGATGTTCTGTAAGAGGTCGTAAAATACTACTAAACCTGGAGACACTATCAACAGGTATGACATATTTCGGTAAATCAATTCATCCCAAGTAAGGCGATAACGCCACTAAGGCGCAAGAGGGCTATTGGAAGTGAAAGAGACTGAAAATCCTTTAGAAGGAAACGGAAAACGAATCATAAGCAGGAAACAAGGGATAAACTCCTGTTCAAAAAATCAAAGAGGAGTGTGATATTTACTATTAAATATACAGGTCTTCTTATAGACAGTTTGTACCTATTGATGTTCGATATCAATAACACATCGTATGTGGGTGACAGAAAACCGGTCCCAGAAATATTCGACTGACTTCCAGTTGCACCATTGGGTCCTGCACTCTCCAGACTAAATATCGAAAAATGCCTTTCAAAAGCTAAATAAACTATTAAGAAACAGGAAAATTTCTTTAGAAACAAATAAAATAGTGCAAAGATTATTTAATATAAATCCCCCTATTCCTATAGTTAATGCCGAACAATCTCTTTACAGGCGAAGAAGCGACTTGATGGAAAAGAGATGTGGTTGCATAGAATGATGCTGAGTAAACCTTGAGCAGAAACTGTGATCAATAGGAAATGTTAAGGAAAATGTGAGCCAAAAGGGCACTTGTACTTAGAACCTGAAAGAGAAAGTTGAAAGAGGAAAGAAAGCGAGGAGAATTTGATATACAGAGGATATATTGAAAGCAAAAGAGACAGGGAAAAACAGTGAGTAGTCTAAGGGTGACAGAACAGAAATTTGGAGGATAGTAAAGAGACAAATATGGCTTAGGGCTACAAAGTGTAGGAAGTTGTGGAGAACTATGGTCGCTCATGTTCTGGATGGATACAGCACGCAGAAAAGGTGATCAAAAAATGTATGTTGCAGACAGCACTAAATTCTCTTCTGCCACAAATCTAACTGACAAATCTATGTTTGGGAAAGCCGTGGAAAATACCGGGATAAATAGGGGTCTGAAAAAAAAAGTATCGGGCCTGCTGCTATAGTAACAGAACTAAAGTACGCAGAGTGGAGCAGCTTAGCACAGACTGACCTTAAACTCTGTCGCGCGTACACACTAAATTATAACGTTGTTACTCCCTTCCGTTACTTATAAGCAGAGCTTGGAAGGAAAGTGTGTAGAGTGTGGTCGTCTCAACGCACCACAGACGTTCTATCAGTGACCATTGGATTGTGAACCAGTTTTTGGACAAGAGCAGCATTTCCCGGGTTCGACAGCCACCATCTTATCCAGATCTCGCCCGCTTCCGATTTTTTCCTCTTCAGAAATCAAGTCACGTTTAAAAGGAACGAGATTTCAAGAGGTCGAGTAAATCCAAGAGAATGCGATGAGACAGCTGCTCGCTATCCCCCAAAATTGAGTTCCAGGAAGGTTTCCATCAATGGAAACAACCCTGGATAAAAATCTGTGGCTTTAGAAGGGAACGACTTTGAAGGAGATTAAATGCCGAATTGATATATATTTTAGTTTTCTTTTTATGGCACGAGTCTTGATACTTTTTGATCAGACCTCATATACCCGCGCAATGACCCTAGAACCTCGTACAACCCTTGCCAGGTTGCGTAGTTGGCGTTGGTCAAGTGAAGAGAAGAGCTGTAAGTTATTAACTTTTTTCCAGTTCGTTGGCACATCAGTTGATCTGTTGCAATTTATTCGATCCTAATTTGGTCATGTTGCTGGCTAAGCTAGAAGCAGTAAATACCTAAGATTTTTGCTCTATATAAACGGAATATTTATAAGTATCTGGGTAGTTATAAAAACGGCTGCATTAAACTACCAAACTGTACTAAACTGTACGCTTTGGCTCTCAGCCATGCCAGTATATCTCTGTTGGCAATGCATATACATTTAGATTCTCTCAAGAGGTTTCCATTGCAATATTTGATGTGAATTCTGACGGCCTAAAACACGGATTCCTCATTAGGGATTTGCTTTCAGGCTAATGCCGTCATTTATTCCCCCCCTATCAATAGTAAACGGACACGCCTGGACAAATTGATTTGGAAGAATTGAGATTCGTCGATAAAAATCATTTGCTACACATTCGTTAACATGTGATTTTTCCACCTTCATACATAGCTAGTCGTTCAAATAAGTAATAATATCACAGGTAAGATTTATTAAACAAATACGTAACAAATTTTAGCGGTTAGTTGGTAAATTAAACGATAACCATGGCTGTATGATAGCATCAACTGCAATTCGAACTAATAAACCTTCTAGGACTTAGAATCATACTTCAAACTTCGTGGATTGGCGCTACACAATCACAAACACAAAGTAATTGTGCCAAATAATGGAAACCTCATCATTTTTCACTTCCTACAACCTTTCAGGTTATTTAAAGCCAGAAATTATTTTTAGATTGTAAGAATTATTTTTTTAAAGATAATAATGGTTTAGTGATACAAGTTTTACTAATTAACCCATAGCTGTGAGGAGAAGAGTTAGATTCACACTTTTACCAAGGGTATTTGCGCATATGTGAATATAAACAGGAAGAAGATTTCTGCGTCATTATCCATTACACTACCCACAGCATCCAAGCTCACACCAGCTGGTTTTCCCAAGCGGTCACCCATCTAGGCACTGACCAGTTTCGACGTTGCTTAACATCTATGATCGTACGGGAACTGGTGTTTCAATGTGATGTGACCGAAAAACATCGTCGGATTATTAACTCCTGAATGTTTCCTTATAAGGAAACGGCAATATTACCATTATTGCTACCTGACATTCAAACTACCTAGACACCCACCCCCAGCCCTTAGTTTTTTTCACTAGTAGTCAGTCAGTTATGTGCCATGCGTGATACACGCTTAGGCGATCATGTATCTTTTTTTTCCCGCAGTATGTTGCCATTTTTTTTCTGCGGTAGACCAGTTGTCGTCCAAGGATATAGAACCTGGCCTACCTTGCTATTTACCCATAGTTGGGTGAAGAAGAGGAGGATTCATTATATATATACAGGGTATTAGCACATAAATTAATTTAATGGATTCGACTGGAATTCGAATTCGGCTCTCCGATTCCTCAGTAGACATCTGTTTATCTCGCGAGGCAAAAGGTATCGTCCTGTTTGGTCAAAATTAATTCCTTTGGTGGTGAAAGTAGAGTGACATCTCCAGAGCGCAGGCCTGAGCGATGGTATATGGAGACTGTGCACTGCCTAGACTATTTCTCCGCCCAACTCTCGACCGTACCGACAATATCTAAAAGAAACACAAGACATTTGGGGCTGGCTTGTATGTAGGAGATGCCAGTAAGATGTTTTGACAGCCAACGGCCTTCAGGGCTCCATTCTGGTTTTTCTTTTACGTCCATAGCCTTTTTCGTGTTTAGATATGATCGCAAGGCAGTGGTGGTTTAAAATCGGGGGTTTCTTTCCTCTAGATGGACTGTCTTACTGGAGTGTCGAGTTCCATCTACCCGAAGCAGCTGGTTATGACGCGTCAGTTGTCCGCCTTCGACAATTCTCCGGCTTGGGGATGGACTTAGTTGTCAGAGGCTATTGGAGATGGATGCCACGGAAGCATTTTATAGAATGAAATTCTATAAAATGCTTTAGTGTTGGATTGAAGTTTAGAAATTGTAAAATTTCTTGTTTAACTCTCAATTTCTCAATATTTAGGTTGTTTTTCCTTCAACCTAAATATTGAGAAATTGAGAGCTAAACAAAAAAAAAGTTATTTTGACACTCACTCTGTACGTTATTGTACATTAAAAAGTCATCAAAAATCTTGTTATAAATGGTTAGGGATTTAGGCCAGTGCTACTGACAGAACAATATTATTATGAGTATACTCTTTTGAGCTTTACCAAGGATAGAAGCTTGGGCAATCCCAGCTTAGATATGGCAGCAATGCACCACTTTTGGTCGGGTCTAACTCTTCTATAGATCATGGCAGAAAGAGTCAGATAATTTTATGAACGGTAAAAGAAACGCACCGCTTTTAAAAACATATTTAACGATGGATCATATATATGATGTGGGTGATCATGAATCTCGAAAAGTTCCTATATTTTGTAGCTTTAATGACGTCTGACCTTTTAGAGTACCTTTGACCCTGCTCCGCCATCCACACATGTATGACTGCGTGCTACTCGATTGACATTTAGGTCCCACAATTTTACTGTTGAAATAGTTAAATGCAACCGCCACTTCTGCTCCAAAAAATTCTTTTCTCGCACTTCCCACCCGTGGAACTCCCTTCCGTTTACTTGCTTCCCTGATAACTACAATCTTTAAAAAATTAAATCAACGTCAATCGCCATCTTCTATCTTCTTAAAAACCGTTCATCTTTTGTCCTTTCTTCAATCCTTCCTATGCCCAGTCTTTTCTTTCACTTTCACCCTCTGTAACCCCTTACGTACTAGTGGCATTCTTGCCTTGTTTGGGATGAAATGATTTAAAAAATAAGAAATAAAAAAGCTATTTCAGTTAATAATGCGATATTCATTTTTTGGCGTTGTGTAATGCCTACAGTTACCATAGGTTGGGAATAGTTTATTACTAAAGAGAGGAGATCAATGAGTATAATAGTTTTGACTGTTTTCATTTTTTTAAGCATTTCACACCAAGCACGACAGGAGTGCCACTAGAACACAAGGGATTACAAAGAGTGAAAGCAAGAGTAAAGAGGGGTATTTGAGGAAAGGTTTACAGAGAAGGACGGTGATCAGGATCAAGGTTCAGACGATGTTGATTAACATTACATTTGAATATCTGAAGATTATAGCTCTCAGGAAAGCTACTAAGAGGAAGGGAGTTTCACTGTTGGGAAGTGCAAGAGAAGAAGCCGTTGGAGTAGAAGAGGCGGTTACATCTGTTTCGACAGTGAAAGGGTGGGAACGATATGTCAATTTCTTCAGTTAACCGCTTTCTGTTTTTCTTTTGCTTTCTAGGCAGTAACATTTTTTTTGTTTTATTTCAAATGTATTTTTTGAATAAGTTTACGAACCGGGTGAATTTAGTACATCTGAACTGTGTGAAAGAAGTAAGTCCAAAATTAAGACGATAAACCGACGAGTTTAATTTTCACAAACATCTGGAGCAGTGTTTCCCAAACATTTTTTTCCTGTGGGTCGCACCTTCGGAATGAAAATTTGCTCGCGCCTCGCCAAATTTTGAGTGGTAAAAAGTGCATTTAAAAATAAAATAAAACAACAACAAATAGTGCGTTAAATGTAATATGTAACACAAATAACTTATAATTCAAGTAAACAAATTTAATGAAAAGGTATGAACTTGTTTTTGACGACCCTACACACAAGCCGCTAGTGGCCCGCCAGTGTGCCTCTAGCGGCCAGCCAGTGGTAACATTGCTGAGCCGAATAAGTCAGCGGTCCGACAGCGGGCCACCAGCTGTAAACGCTAGTGGCATGCCACCCAGTGGCATGCCACCCAGTGGCATGCCACCCAGTGGCAGATTAGTGGCTGGCGTGTAGGAGAGTAATCTCCTTTTTATTAGGCCTAATTTGAGATAAGCAAACTCTCATCTCCTCATCAACACAAAGAAGCCTTTTCCTTTTTTGGTTTTTAATATTTGTCGGAACCGAAAATCCTGGTTCACAGTTTTATGTCGAGGAGAACTGTAAAAGAATTCATAATGCTTTTAAACAGACACATGAATAATGTTTCTGGTTGTATATCCGAAAAGAATCCAGTTGTACACCCTTGTGTTTGATTTCAAGTAATCCATAATAATATTTTAAATTTTGAAATCATATTTATTTTGGGGATATGGATTTTTTTTTAAACTGTTTCTAAATCTTTGATTGTCTTTCAATCATTCCGCCTCACCTGCTATCCTCTTCCGCCTCACCTGCTATCCTCTTCCACAACACCTATGAGGCGCGCCGTACCGTTTGAGAAACACTGCTCTAGAGTAATCATATCTACGCAAATAGGTGGAGTGAGATTATATACACTTATATTGACAATAAGAATAGGTTCACAAATACTGACAGGAAGAACATCTATACAATCACAGACATCGTTAAAATATACGTGAAAGAAAGATTTTATATCCAAAATGGATATTTTCTCCATTATTTCTGACTCAGTTTCTCTTTTTTTTCACTCTTAGACATGTATCTAGGCTGACATTGACGCCATTTTGTCTTTTTCTTTCGTCTTCTCGACATTCACACCAAGTGGATCTCACAGACATTTAACAAAAACTTCCAATTCTTTGTGTACGCTGATTTACTTGCTCGAAATATCCATTAAAAGCTTTGCGTATAGCCTAAGATTTAAAGAAGCAATCCGTTCTTTTTTTTTTTAATATTCGCCATTCGAAGAGCAAGACTGTTGCAATAAATCTTGATTTATTCGCATTTAAAACTGACGATGCAGTGAAACATGAAAATGGAATCGCTCATTTCAAAATAGTTTGCACATGCTTGCCGTATTAATTGGGACATTTGAAGTCTGGCATAGTGATTGCATGCGGCCTAAGAATCCTGTTGTAAGGGGGGGTATCGACCTGTGATGATAGCAGCGTCATCAATCCAAAAAAGATCACTTCCTTGAAGCTACTCACCGCAGACAACAGTTTTATTCACATTAATAATGCAAACATGTACGCACTAGAATTAACAACACCATTTCCCTAGAACTTATAACAAGTGAGGTTGCGATTGAAAATTACACTATTTACATTATTCGGACTATTGTCCTCATCTTTGTCACCATATTTATCACAACGTTTCGGCCGTTGTACGCTCCGGCTTTCTTCAGTATCTGTCTATATTTCTGAGATGAGGTATTATTTACACTATTTACATTATTCGGACTATTGTCCTCATCTTTGTCGCCATATTTATTACAACGTTTCGGCCGTTGTATGCTCCGTTGTATGCTGTAGGTTGGAATGTCGAAGTGGACCCTTTATTTCGCTCACTGTTTTAGTTCCGCGTGCCATGTTTAATGAATGTCAGTTGTCAGTTATCTCCTGTTAATTCCCCTCTCCAAGTTCTCCACTGCCTTAACAGGGTATTGAACTCAGTCTTTGGGTCCTGTCACTAGATCTAACTAACGCCTTTATCCTCTGTGATTGAAAATGTTGCGTCATTAGCTTTAAACCCATTTATTCTTCTTTAATATGTCATGTCCCTTCAGGACGTGGACAGTCATGGCTCTCCACAACCAACTTCTTATCCTTCGAAAACCTAAGGAATATATTCTTTTACTAGTCTTCCCACTCGCTTTTTAGCCATCCATTTACACAAATACTTAGGTAGGTTATTCGCTGTTTCATTTTGCCTCAATAGGTCCTGTGAGTGCCAAATTCTCCACGCCCTCTTTCCTCATTATGTGTGTGCGCCTCGACGTGATATAATGGTTAGCAAGCTTGTCTAGCAAGATCAATTACTACTGAGTAGTGAGTTCGATTCTCACTGAGTGCTCCCCATTTTCGGCCTTGTGTCACATCTAAGCTACGCTTAGAAAATTATTTAGTGCACTCCGACGTGGTGTAATGGTTAGCAAGCTTGTCTCGCTAGATCAGTTACGACTGAGTTCGATCCCCACTGAGTGCTCCATGCTTGCGGCCTTGTGCCACATCTAAGCTACGCTTAGTAAGTACCTATTTTTTCCTCATTATGTGTTCTAGAAATTGCAACTGCCTCTTTCTGATTCTAAGTGTCCTTTTTGT